CACCACCATCTCACACTCTCCGCCATTCCCACCCACCAATACAATCGTTGCAAAATGCTTAACGCCACCCTCTCACCTAGGTGTACTGCTTCTTTGTGTGCGCAGTCCATCACCCAAGGTCGTAACATCAGAGGCACGTATGTCCTTACAGGTTCATCCCCCAACAGCCTGTCGAACTGTCCCGGATTTCGGTTTGGCCTGTTTGATGGTTCACGCGTCGCACGACGAACCAGCAATTTACGTGAATCAGCCAACACCATGATCGTTCCTTGCGCGACCAACCGTTTAACATCATCAATATCCACCCCTTCAGGTATGTCATTTTCCCCTATTTTATGTACTTCAACCTCATCTGTAATTAGCTGTAGTGCTGCNCAATTGTGCTTTCTTCGGCGCTAGCTTCAGATTGAACTTTGTCATGCGCTCGGAAAACCTCTCCAGATCCGGCACCTGTTCTGCACCATTTCGGGAGTATACGATAACATCATCAATGAATAATCGCACCCTCTCCAGCCCATCACACACGCGTTGCATGACTGAATGGAACCACCCTGGGCTACTCGACAATCCTTGCGGCATAGCCATGAATTCATATAAACCGGTGGCCGTAATAACTGCAGTGATCGGGATGCTGTCCTCTTCAATACAACACTGGAAAAATCCACTGATCAAATCCAGAGTGCTGAATATTTTTGCCGACTTCAGATCCGCCAGAATGTCCTCTACTACTGGTATCGGCAGTTTCGGTAAAACGCTCATTTGGTTCACTTTTTGTAATTCAACGTTAACTGTACTCCTCCATTGGCTTTTGCGACCACGACCAAGGGACTTGCCCAATTACTGTAGGATCGTCGCAAGACCCCTGCCAACAGCAGTTTGTCAATTTCTATCTGCACTTTTTCGTTTATGATCGGCGAATATCGATACGACCGTTGTTTCACCGGCTGTGCTCCCGGCTTCAAAATCATTCGGAACGGATCCACCTTTACTTTTCCCAAATCAGTACCGTCCTTTGAAATCTGTGCTCATATCTGCATAACAGATCACTTAGCTTTATTATGTCTTCGGGTTCCCACAACTCCGCGTTGAAATTGAAGCGAACATCTCGTAAATGCGTGGGCACCTTTTGCCATAGACGCCGAAATGCCACCTGTTGCGCGGGATTTAAACCAGCCATAACATCATCAGGGGGTTCATCCGCAGGCATGTCAGTTGCATCACTTGACACCACGTGAACCTTATATTCTTCATTCGGAATAAGCCTTGCATCGTCCATACTAACAACCTCCAAGGGTTCACCACCCTCACCCAACAGGTCATTGTACTTCAACAAAAATGCAGCATCCTCCACCCGTCTCAAAGGAATTTCCGATTTGCCTGCACTTACAAGTGCTTCTTGAGGGAACCATTTATCCTTGAATTTTACGCGGTATGTTCCTTCTGTCGCTTCACTGCCGTCAGGGTTGGTCAATTCAACTTGTACCCATGACATTTTATTTGGCAACCACCTTTTCTTTCCCACACACCTTACTACCACCTTCCCACTTCCCTCGTGTTCGATCATTCACACTGCATTGTCAACCCAATTTGCAAATTTTTGGTCAACTGCTGCTCCTTTTCCTTCATTTGTTTCGACGGTTACTATTGTTTCGTCATCCGTTACATCCCTGTATTTTCGAACAGGAAAATGAGACCAACTATCTCGTCCCAATAAAACGTCCACGTCCATAACACCATCCGGGACCACATGCGCCAGCACAGCTAAACATGCAGTAGGTGATCCAATATTCTTGGGTGCTTGTTTTCCCCCTTTCCACAATTGTACGTTTAACCTCGCTTGTTGTGTGGTAATCAAGGGCCTTCCGTGGAATCCTCCCCATTTTCGTTTTCTTCCCTTCTCAATCCCATCCAGTGACGCTGACCCACACTCCAACATGTAATCCACACACCTTTGTTGTATGAACGACGCCGGACTTCCGGTATCTAATAGTGCCTGACACAGGTGCATCGTCGTTGCTTGAACCCCCGCGAACACTTGAACTCTTGTGGTGTGGCGCGCGTCTAATGTGACATCCCCCCCTATCGCACTCGTGAAGGGAGACAAGTGCTCTGCTGGTTCTCCTGCGGGTATGTTAACCGGCATAGGGGAATAAACCAAAGGCGTATTGTCACATGTCTCGTCACTTTGATCCAGCGGGTACACGCTTATACTTTTTACGTGGCGCATGTCCTGTTTGTCTCCACCGGTATTCTTGAGGCATCTCCCTGCAAATTCTGCGGGAGTTTTAGATTCCTTACTTGGATTGGATGCATCAACCACTTCGTTTGCGGAACCGTCTTGTATGCCCTTCAATTTTGTTTTTAGTTCTTCCATTTCGGACCTTCTTTTCTGTATACGATCCATCGCTTCGTTAGCTTTCATGTTCCCACTTTTTCGGGTTTCTTCACTGCTAGCTGGGTCCTTTTGTTTGGCCCTATGTACAGTCGTTACGGTACCATAAGCTGTGGGTATCCAACTTGGTGTTTTCCGGGAGGATTCTGCACTGTGGATATCTTGTTCCACTCCCCTTTTGTTGTTACCACACCGGACGCTACTGCTACTTGGTGATGCGGTTTCAGGCTTCGCTTGGCCAATCGAAGGAGGTTGTCCTGAACCTCTCCTGCAACAGTTATCAGTGACCGACCAACGAGGGTTGACTGTTTTTTAACAGGTTTGCACATGATGATGTTTGCACACCACCAAGACCAGAAATATCTTGCGGGTCGCTAGTCCGCACGTTACTCCTGCCCGAATGGCGCAATTCCGTCAACGCGTCTTTCATCGCCACGGGCTTAGTAGACGGTACCACAGATTCCGAATCCACACCGTTTCCGGGGTAATTACTTCCATTACTGTTAAAAATTCCAAAGGCCCCTATGTTACCACCCTCACCATTGTTAGACGGATAGCATCCCCGTCCCTGGATCATGACTCGTGATGTGCTTCATTCGTCCGTCCATACCCTGAAACTCTCTCGGTCTTGGAATAACGTCGTCATTCTTGACCTCAGTCCCTTTGTTTTCTTCATTTTTCCTGTTCTCTGGACAAGGTGGGTTTAACGGCCAACGTGCTACCGGAAAGGCGACCGAATTCTTACCGTTGCACCTTCAACCGTGTTTTTTAAGCTATTCATGCCAGCCTCTGAGCCGCTTTAACCATTTCGACCATCTTTCTTTGACCAATTGCGGCGGTCCCTGGCCCAAATCCGGGTTGAGCATGTTCGATTTGTTTATGAAAGGGTGTGTGCACTCTCGCACGAAGTGTGACTGATCGCCGCAGTTCAAACACTTTAACCCGTAGGCTTGTCTTGCCTTATCTTGTTCTTTTCGGCTGTCAAACCGTGAATAGAAAGGGATGTAAGATTCATCACCCTTCCCTTTTTCCCATTGTGTTGCCACATAATGCACTTTTTTTAATTATTTTTCTTCATCTTCCATTTCCTCATGAATATTCATCGCTCTTGCCCCCTGAGAGGGCTGTTTGCCATACATCCTTCCTGCGCTTGCTGCACTCGCATAAGACGTCGTTCCTGCGCTAGCATTCCCTCCCCCTTGTCCCGCCCTTTTTGTTTGCACACTTATGACATTTCGTTTCACCGCCGTAGCTTCAGTCGTATTCCATGCCAAAACTTCTAGTGCATCCATTAAGTCCCGAATACTGTCATACGGTACAGCCATCAGGTCTCTCCCCTTAAATACATTCACCGCGATATTACTATATTGGTCGCAGACACTGTCACTCACTGCTAGCTGCAACACATTGTCTTGCGCACTCTCATGGCCGACACTCATAGCATTCTGCACCAAGGCCCTTAAAGTATTCATATATTCTGAGAATGGTGTTCCTGCATCCACTTCCAAGTTCTGCAAAGCAAACACCACATGTTGCGGCGTCGCCATGCTAAGCGTCCGGGTTAGCACCCTTACCAAAAGTTGAGCGCTTCTCTTCCTGCCATCCCATTGTCCAACTGTTGCCTGGTTTGGCTGAAGGACGAGGTGATCTTCGCCTTTAGATCTAACCCCTGCGCGTTAGGAAGGCGCGAAGACACGGAATTCAATACATGTTTTTCAAGTGCAATGTCCCATCCTCGCACCCAATCTGACGATTTCGAATTATCTCCTGCCCCCAACCTCAATTCTTCCACGTTTTTAACCAGAGTGGATGACAAGGAAACAGTTTCAGCAACACTCATGCGCTGGCCAGCTAGAAGCGGCAACCTCATCAGATTAGCTGTGGAATACGTGGCATATTTTTGTCTGATTGCCGTCACTTGTTCCTTTGATAGTCTTTCATCAGAACTTTCTTCTTTTGCCTCCGTTGAATTCTCTAGCTCCACTGCGTTGTTAGGTACAGAGGATGGTTCTGTCACACTCGGCTGCACAGTTTGAGGCGCGTCTATCACCGCTGGGGAAACCGCTGCTGTCACTGGGGCGTCTACTGCCCTCGGAGACTCCACCCTTGTGAAAGTGACCACAGGAGGTTTGTTGCTTCCACCATAGGAGGTTGTTCCATACCAGAGTTTATTTCTCTCGCCTCCATGTACCTATGGTTCGCTGGTTTTGCCGCAATACATCGGAATGCCATATCCATAGCCATAGCTGTCGACATACCTGCCATTTTGCCAGTGCGACGGCGGCTGTCCTTGGGGTGTGTGGAATGGTCCTTGAGGGTACATCATTCCTTGGGGCGGACCTCCCTGGTATCCATCTTGGTATCCCTGGACCGGGTACTCCCCCGACCCACCTCCACCAAATCCACCTCCCATTCCACCATCCATTCCTCCTTGTCCCATCCATCCTTCATTCCTTTCCCTGTATCCTCCTCTCTGAAAGTGTCCTTGCCCCCTTCCCTTGCCCCTGGGAGAGAACCTCCCCCTTCCCCTTCCTCCTCTTCCACCTCGTCCCCTTCCACCCCCGCTGCCACCCCTGCTCCTGCTGCTACTAAAGCTTTGGCTAGATGACACCGAGCCAGGGGAACTAGCACCAAAGATCGTCCTTGTATCTTCTGAATTCACGTCGAGAGTGCCCGACCCCCCAATAACTCTCCTTGGGTCTCTGCTCCATCTCTTCTTCCTTTACTTCGACAGAATTTTCCTCAGAGTCTTCCTGTTAAATTCCCATGTCTGCCATGACTTGGGCAGTTACCGACCGCGTGTCTACACCAGGCGAGCTCGCGACGATCTCGGCTACCCTTTTCATCAGTTCAGCCTCCTTCACGCTCGGTTTCTTCGGAATTTGGTACTTCTTCCTCTCTTTCTTGTTCAGAGTCTGCTTTCTCCTTTTCATATTCCTCCCTAGCCGCGCGCGCTAGCCTAGCGTCTTCCTTAACCTGGTGCAACCGGTTACTCGCTTCCAAGAACCGAGCCTGTGTCTCTGCTGCCGTGCGTGCCGCCTTTTGATATTCAAAGGGACCTGCTGGGGCGGGTGCGAGAAATGTTCTTGCGCCCGTGATTTTCTCGGCTTTTGACGCGCGACCGTGACCCAAGGGGTCGAAGACTCTGACTGTGTGGGCGACTGCAAGGCCTCAAACCGATTAGACGACCGCAAGGGTGGCCATTCCTTGTCAAGGCCTCGTACCCTCTTCTCCTCTTCGGTTTCTGTTGGAGATACTACCTCTTCCTCCTCAAATCCACTGCTGTTGTTGTCTTGTGGTTCAAGGGCGAGGCGCAAATCCGCTTTTCTTTCTTTCTCTCCTCCTGTTTTTGTTTCCTTTCTTGTTCTATCCTTTTTCTTTCTTTCGCTTCTGCCACCTCCTGTTCCTGCATGTCCATGGCCAACCCTCCCTTCCGTCTCCTTGTTCAACCTTTCCTCCTTTGTGCCCTTCTGTCTTCCCTTCGTTGTGCCCATCTTTTATTCCTCCTTTTTGTCCTTCTTTCTGTTTTTCGTTGTATCTTTCTTCTGACACGTCGATCGAACGCTCGTCCGATTCCACCCCCCACGCGTCCCCTCGGGAGCGTGTGAGCGTACCCTTCCCCCCATCCCCTCTGCTCAAAGCAGTTGTGCTCTCATCCATCCTCCTCCTTTCCCTGCCCTCTACACTACGCCGCGTCATATCGCGCGTTGTCCTCCTCGAAGTCATTTCATGACCCTTCGGTGAGTCCCTCTTCCCACCCTCTTCCTCCTTGTCCTTCTCACCTTTTTGCCTCGGTGTATTGGTCATCGCAACCACACCACACCACAGCGCAAGACGACTAGTACAAGCCCCTCCTTCGGTGCCAGTATCGGGGGATCGGGGTGCGCTACCCACCGCGTACGTATTTGTGTTGATGCCGAGGTTCTTGTCGTGGTAATGTTTTAAGTCCAGTAGAGCTTCGATCAAGTGTCGTCTTGTTAGAAGTTCTGACCGTATCGGGACAACATGGGAGAAGACTCCGGGCGGGTCAGACTGACCACTTGTGGGTGTCTCTTCGTCCACACACATGTCCACAGTTTTTCAAAATCCTACTCTGCTGACAGTCCATACTTGCATTCTGAGAATCTAAGATTCTATCCAATCCTCTCAAAAGACCTGTCGAATCTCTCAAACTTATTTCCCGATGAATATACCAATCCGCCTCACAACTTCCCGATAGTGCAGTATCCTTTCAAACATGTCCCGCTCTTTTCCACCTGCTCTCTTTCCAAGTAGTACGCTTGGCTGCACTCAGTTTACACCAGCCCTGTTCCATACCACACTATTAACCGTAGTTACCCGGTAATTCCACAGTTCCAAGAAAAGCGGCCCGATTGCACCACAACCTACGGATTAGTCGGGTCAATTTAGAGCTTTCGTCCAAGCCCGTGGTGGTCTCGATCTGTGCCGAAGTGAGCGCAAAAAATGTAAAAAAACACGGAGGAAAGAGACAGACGACACAGAGGAAGTGCTAATCATCCCGGCCCTGGAGGATAAGAAGAAATAGGCTACATAAAACATTGCGTCGACAAAGAAGTGAAGAAGAGAGCAAACGTTTTGACCCCGAGGACGAGCAGAATACCGCCGTTATCACGCCATATGTGAAGAGCAAGAGAAGTAGGAGTTGGAGTTAGCGCTGAGTGAGGAGCTCTTTGGACACAAACGCGTAATAACAGCTAGGTAAGGTCCGTTTTACTCGTTTCCACATAAATATTTGCAAAGTTTAAATAAATAGCGAATCTCTAAATTTACACTTCAACCACAGCTGCTCCGATGAACGCTTGCATTTCCCAGGTTAAGGAGAACCGCAGTGCTGCCGTACGGCTGTCGCTTCTGCTCTCGGGCATCACGGTCTCGCTGGCCGAGAAATACAAGGATGGTGCCGACGTAAATCGACAAGTGCGGATGTTTAGGAACAACACGGTCCCTTACATCATCGGTCTTATCGACGAGTAAGTGAACGCGCCTCTCCCTGTTATATATATATCACTATCCTTGTCAACGACGTTATACAGGTATCGAAACTACAATAGACTTATACGAAGTAGATACCGTAGATGGTACCATATGCCATAACTATGCTTAGGAACACGTGCAAGCTTAGACAACGGCTACGCCGCGTGAGATTCTTGTGGCGTCTTGCTTTGAAGAAATCAAGAAATCAAAAAAAAGAACCGCGCCCCAAAAGAGATGGGTCTCTATGAAGTGATGTAATATTGGTCAGATTACAGAAAAAACAACTAAAACCATGAAAGCGTCAAGAACCCCCCCCTGCAGCTCTCTGCCGGGCCAACAGCATATATATCGGGGAGAAGCCCTCGCCTTCAAGCTGTGGTAATATAATCAGTTCCTCAGGAACAGGGACGCTTCGCAAGGTTTGACGTAGATAGTCGAAGTTGCTGGTTGAGCGAAACATCGCTGTGAACGCTGGCAAAAAAACTTCTGGTTGTCTGAGGGGATACTTTGCTCGCTGTGCTATCGTCGCGACAACCTGCCCGGGGGGGGGTGGGTGGCTAGATAGCCAACTTGCGCGCGGGTCTAAACATTTTGCGCGCTCTTGCTGCATTGTTCGGGCTTGCCCTTGTGTTGCTGACGTCTTGTTTCATGGTATGTATCACAGGTTAACGCACGGCTTGATTGCACTACTAACGGATGTCTACCGCGATGTCGTTCGTCGTGCAGAAATTCCTCTGATGGGCGAATGGTCCAGATTCCTTGTTTAACACGTGCTCCGAACGAAGCAGGTTGAACTGTTGACGGATATTCTCGCGTTGCCTCAATCGACAACGTGTCCCCCTCACCATCCCGTGGCAGGTGTTCCGGGTTACGCATCGTTCAGCGGAACAACGCTAAGTTGCTGTATGACAGGCTGCAAGAGGGGGAACGGGAGCTGAAGGAATGCATCGACGGTAAAACAGTGTCGCGTACGTCGGTATTCGAAGCTTGACGGTTATTGGTAGGGCGGCCTTCGCCCCTGTCTTGCCCGTCGTGAAGAGATACCGCGCGAAATGCAAATACATGCAGTTTCACTCGGTACCGGGCGCCTCATGCGGAGACATTCGATGATAATACAATTTGAGGCAGGGGAAAGGGGGCAACCCCCCTAGCTTGTTCATCACGCGTACATGCACAGACGTGAGATTTCTCGCTTTTTGGTGCACGGAACATTTTATGTCGCTGCCATCAGCTGCCCGTCCCGTGCTTTGTCCGCGCCGGCCGAGGGTGCGTTTGTGACGAAGTTCAATTAGCATGTGGCAGTTGTTGAGTCGTTTTCATGCGCACATGTATCCCATAGCTGGTATCTGACCTGACGCCGTACACCGGTTACTTGCGTGTCCGACGCACTGCCCGAGATGCGCAGTTCTGGATGTTGTTCTCCCTGAACCTTGCACCGACGGTTTGACCAAGTTTAAGGCCGAACAAGAGGGACAGATCTCCAGCCAAGAGCCGCGCACGTTCGCGTAAGCTAAATACGGATTGTTTTCTCCAACACTTTCGCGGCCGATGAAAACCGAGTTAACGTAGCTAGAGACGCATATTTCGTGATTTCCGGCTCGGACAACGATCGTTGCGAAAGAATGTGTCCGGAAAGAGAATTCACTAAAAAAATACGTGTTCGCGTTGCGTCACATCCGAGGTCTACTGTTCGCTTACACATCGTTGCTGAGTTCCAGGCTTTGGTTGTCAATCCGACGCATGGCCCTGTCGGGGCAGAGCTCGCCTTGTCCCGCACCTTTCAGCAAGCAGTTTTTCACCGTCCTCTTCACCACAGCCCCCGGCAAGCCACATGTTGATCTTCGTGTGGAACCTCTCATCTGAAGTATGTAGGCTAGTGGCGAATCATTCAGAAAGCTGCCGGCTGCAGTATGCAGGCCTTAGTCCTTAACTTGGGCATATCGTTTGTTCTTCAAGCCTTTATACGTATTCGTACGCGATATCCTTTCACCTTACGACGCCGCCCTATACGAACAGAGCGGCCGTGGGCTCCTCCTTCAGCAGGATCTTGGGGCTGGTGACAACAGCTGGTGACCGAGTGTTCAAGAGTCCGGCAGACAAGCGAGAGGTGATCGACCTGGTGTTTATGTGCGACGTGACGGGCGGCATGGCGAACAGTGGTTGCATGGATAAGGTAAGCCCTGTGTTATTGATGCTCCGCACTATCGTTGCTTGATGTTGTACTAAAAAGCTCAAAGAAAAAAGGATGAAAACGGGTCGAGGCCCGAAGTTCATTTACCCTTCATGCACGCACGCACATGGTTTGGGCTCTTTGCCCTAGAAACGAATGGGTTGGAATCTGACGCTGCCTGAGATGCGTCGATTTGTCTGTGAAGGGGCGACAGATGGGTTGTGTTCACCTGTGTACGGTAGCGCGTTCGGCAAACCGGGCAGTCTACTAAATTAACCGCGATGACGTGCCAAATCGTCAGGTGAAGGATCGAATCGAAGAAGTGGCGCGCAGCACCCGCACGATCTTGGAAGAGCGAGCCGGACTACTCCGCGTGGGGATGGTGGCCTACCGGGATCTCTGGGGCGGCGAGGAGCCGATGTTGGAGGTGAGGTTTTGTTCCTCCTCCACGGTACCGACATCAAGGGGTACCAATATGAAGGGTTTGAGGCCACAACCCCCATGTATTATTTACATTAACATGCAGTCGGCGCCTACATACCTGCACATTCCTCCGGAGATCTGAAGACACCCCCAGCGTTGCTGTCGCGATTGCGAAGTGGTTGATCGAGGTAGTATGTATAATCGCTTTTATTTCCGTGCATCCTCTTTGGCGTTTCCTTCGGGGGACGGGTGCGCGCTGTGTATGGGAGAAAGGTGTCCCGTGACCGCGGAACCCGTACCAAGTCAAACATTTGCACGTACCTACTCTATGCCTCCTCTTCCTTTCCTTGCATCACTTGCTACGCACGGACAAACCCCTCTCGGCTTGAGCGTAGATCGAGGAGCTGACTCCATGTGTCGGTCGGGTCATGAGCCACGTACGACGGCTGGTTCCGACCGGAGGCCTAGACGTGGCGGAAAACGTGCTCGGAGGGCTTGAAGCGGTGGTGAATATGCAGAGTTGGGAAGACTACAACAAGAAGGTTCTCGTGCACTTCGCGGATGCCCCATGCCACGGCTCCGAGTACCACAACCTCCAGCCCAAGGACGACCTGCTGCACGACATGAGCAAATACCAAGAAAAGTGCGGAACGAACAGCCTGCAGAAAGCTATCAAGGTACCGACGATAAGGCTCGCGCGAATACGCGACACCCACAGCACTGCATAAAATACGATGACGCTTTGTACCCTCTACATATCGCCGCGGTTTGAACTCAATATCCATGTCCGCGTGGCATACCGGAACAGTGTACTATTAGAAGTTACAGCTCTTCCGGAACAGCTGCTTCGCGAGCACCTGCAGCAGCTGAACCAGCTGCGGGAGGCGTCGCCTTGTACAACAAGCGGAAAAAGAAATGCTTCGTTCCGTAGTTTGTGACGTTGTTGCAAATCGCAGTTTTGCGGTGATCATGGTTGAGATCCACAGCCCGCTCTCGGTACCACGCTCCTAACGTCTTACCATCGTCCCGGCCGTTCACGTAACCTGCTGTAGCGTCTGGCACAGGACAAAGTGAAGTACATCTTCGTCAAGATGAACAACTCCACGGACAAGGTCAGAGCTAGTCTCTACGCAATCGTAGTTGATACGCCCCACTTGCCCAGACGCCCAAACAAGAAATAGGTACACCTGGGCTTGTTGAAGGTACTTGCTGCCTGCAGGTTACGGCGTTGACAGCATGCCAGGGTGGATGTTACGGCAATGGTGGGAGGTTGGGTCCGCCTGCTGCAACCCACTTGCAACCTGCGAACGCTGCAACGTGTCCGCCCGTAGCTCCCACCAGCTGTGGCGTACCTGTGGAACGGGGGGTCATGCTGGAGTTGAGCAGGACAACCCTTGTCGACGTCGAAAATTGCCGTATTTCCTCTACGCGTTGACATCACGGAAACTGTCTTGCGTTGTCACAAGCCCCCTGCTCGCCTGCTTTGTTTGCGCCGGTGGTGTTTCACAGATGATCAGCAAATTCAGAGAGATGGCGAAAAAAGAAGACTTTCTTACTGAGGTGCGCTAAGCAAGCCAGCAGACTCGCAGTGCTCCCTGTCTCTGTACTTCGCTGTCTACGTCGTTTTCCCATGAACAAAGACAATAAATGCACGGGCAAAGGCGTATTGGTGGGAAATTGGCGCGCACACACACCCATGGAAGCCGAGTGCTGTTTAGCGTTTCTGGGAGTGCAATTGCAGGAGGTCCACAGGGCCTCTCTGTTGCCGTGCACGACCCTCGACTAGCCGTGACCTACATAACCCAAACCCCTAATCATAATCATGACTCAGGGCGGGGTTGCGTACCCCATTTTCGAGTAGATTGAAACCCATCACCGCTCGGGAGTGCACAGCCAGAATGAGAGATTTATGGCCGACCCATGCCAAACATTTTTCGATAGGTTTTAGATCTTGTCTTACTTTGAGCCTTGCGCAAACCCACCAACCCAGGTTTTGATGGCGGACTCCACGCTGACTGCCAAAATCGTGCAGACCATGGATATCGACCGTACCAATCTGGTTCCCTTCTGTGACGCTACCAATGTGTGGCCAGCCAACTCCACCTCAAGGGGCTATCCAATGGCTGATGTAGCTGCGGACGCTCCCAATCCGGCAAGTGTGGCGTGTTTGCTTTCCGTTGTTCACGAGTACCGCCTGTACTGTATGTATTTCCCTCCGGTTGCATGGCCACCTCCCCCGGATTCCACTGCCATGGGTATTTTGCTCGCTTAACGTGTGAACCGGCAGCACGGCGTAACTCGCCGGCTTTCATCTTTGTGAGTAAAATGATAGCCAGATTGCCAGAGCCCGCCAAACTGTTGTCCACAACAGTAGTGTGTGCGTGTTGCCACCAAATACGGCGTGGCCACAACATTCGTAAATCAAGAGGGTTCCGTAAAATATGGAGAGTGGCTTTGCTTTCAACGAGGAGCCCTGATCTAGACGTGCTGGCTTGCTGTGCTCCCAGTTCTATGGCGATGCGTCAAAATATTGGCATTAGTCTACGCTTTAAGCCCACTCGAGGCATCGCCAAAAGTGGGTACATATCCCGCAGCGTGCATTGCACCTGCCACCCCACTATCCCCCCTTTCCTTCACGATAGCTCAAAACATTCCAGTCGGGCAAATCAGCGTGAGTCTCCATCACGTTCAAGTTGAGCCAGCAGACGTGCTATGCACGCAGATGGGTCGAAATATCCGCTCAAGACGGTAGATGTGGTAACATCATGGCAGCCAAAGATGGTTGGAACACGATGGTAGCACTTCACAGTAAATGGAGATGACCGCAACCGGGGTGTGGCTCGGTGATGCTTAACTTGTCTAAGCCTTGGGGGCTTAAGTCGTGAAGAGTATATATTTGCCACTGCGCTGGCGTAGAGTGAATAATGCTTGTGTTGCCCGACGATTTTCAACCAGATCCAGCTCGGGATGCAGCCAACTTTGTAGTAATGCATAACATCTCACGTTTTTGGTGCTTCGTCAATCACTGCCGCCTCCCTTGCCGCCTGCCTTTGTCACTCTGCAGGTACAGGTGCCCACTGTGCCTGCCAACGAGAGCATCACCTCTCCCGTTGACATCACGACGCCGCCACCGAGGTACAATCGTGCCACCCCCTCGTCGTCTGGCACGACAACCCCTTCTACATCGGTTGCTGCGCTCCATCAGCCTTTTCACCAACAAGGTGCCACTCCCTGGTCGTCTGGCACGGCAACCCCTTCTACACCACCGGTTGCGCTCAATCGGCCTGTTCGCCAACAAGCCCCCCACAAACAGCCGCCGCGTCGGTGGCCGCCCAGAGACTGCTGAACCGATTCCACTCATAGTCGTGGGTCGCTTTTTTACGGACGAGGTGCAGAGTACCAGCACATATACAGAACGCGCCACCGCTTGAGAGCCTCCAATTTTTCCCGAGGCCGGTTTCTTATTTTTCCGTGGGGCAGCCAATCTATCTTTGTAGAGGTTTTAGTGTACGCGTCGGAAGGGAGCACATGTTCGTTTGGGCACGTACTTATATTTTTGGTGTTTTGAGGCTGAAGTTCTTAAGCGGATGCTGACAACCGATCTTGGATTTGCTTGTTTCGAAATAGAGCGAATGAGCACCTATTTAGCAATCTCACACAGGATACACCAGACCAGCAGGAAGGCGCTGGGCACGAAAAAGCTTCGTTGGTTCTCGCGTAGGGCGGTAGTGGAAGCTTCTCTCTGCATACAAATCACGGGATCTACCTCTTGTTGAAATCAAGATAAAAATTCCACCGGTCTACGATCAGGTCGAAACAGCCAAAAGCGGCGCACGCTTAAGTAAGGCCTACCGTCGTGGGTAGGCTGTTGCTAAGGATTCAATCAGTAGAGGACACTCTGGAGAACCGGTTGTAATTTAGGTGATATCGAGGGTCGTAGCAGCGGCCTAGATTATTCTCTGCACATTGACAAATTGACCGACACCCGGTGTCTCCAACTCCTGTGCGCGCCGCCACGGACGCCAAACTCCTGAACTGCGGGTCCTCAGCAGTAGCTAGTGGGGGCGAGTACAGTCGTGGCAAACACTTGGTGTCAGTCCAAAACGCGGACAGTCCGGCGACTACTGACACATTCGATATCTCCGCCCTAGCAGCAGGTCTGAGCGTGCCAACAAACACGTCGCCTCTCAATATTTGTTGTTGTTGTTGTTGTTGTTGACTTCACATTAAACCGTATGCCAGTTGCTAAATGCCAAAATCTAGCAAAGACTCTCGGCCCGTGGTCACGAAAGTGCTAGATCCATCTGAGGATCTAAAGAACACGCACACGTAGCAAGAAAAAGGTGTACAAGAGCCCGAAGAGGTACTACTACACCTATATATAATCCCTGCAGCACCGTACGCGTGCCCAAAACTGAACTACACGTCCGTCTCACCGTTCGACTACAGCAACATCACCCCCTACCTGTCCCACTCTGTACCAAAACGAATGATTGCCGACTACAGCATACTTGCTGTCTGAAGTGCTGTCTGTACAAAAACACCATGGTAGGCATGGAACAAGAAGCTGGCGGGGCACAAAGCTGCTGTCTGAAGTGCTGTCAGAATGTGTCTGCGGACGTACAGTGAAAAAGAACAAGCAACCAAAGCCATGATTGCAATGGACAATCACCCGAACCTCTCCCGATCGTCTGTGTTAGGCACGCAGTGAAAATATCGACAATAGCTAAGAATCGTTCCACATTGAAGGGGTCTTCCACGATCAGGCACATAACCAAGGCACCCGGGTTAGCCACGTCATCTCTGACGGGTCTCTCTACAAAACCAGTGACGACGTCATCACATAGAACCAACACCGAAAATCAGGAAAAAAACGAGAAAAATTGACAACACAGATCAGATATAAATGTTTGTCCGTGCGCCACGGGTCGATGTCGCCCGCATGCTCCGGTGCCGCTGCTCCGTCCGGCGCCGCTGTAGTCAGCCCGAGCATAACGCCACTCGACCTGCTCCGTCCGTACACGCTCTCGTTGCTGTCCTTCCCAGTCGGTTCCTCGCTTTCTCCCTCGTTGCACTCAAGGTTCTTGGTCTGAAAAATAAAAATTCTCGCGCCGAAGGGGTCAACCAGCCCAGTTCAGCTCGTCGCCACCTGCTCCCTCCTCCTTTGATGGCGAAGCCAGGTTACTGAGGCAATGCAGCGCCCTCTAGCCAACCTAGGGCCGTGTACATAGTTCCCGTCCACCTTCTGACGGTGTCTGCCTCCGCGCACAAAAAATGAGATGGGCATCGCTGCCTACGCCGACGGCCAGAGGCCCGCGCATCTACATTTTTTCGCCTGACCCCATCAGTGCCGACCCAACTACACCACCACGCGCATGCCTCGCGGCGGATATGCGCAGCAGCAAGAAGGTTTCGGTCATCCCTTGAGGGTGAGTCTAGCCCTGCTCGCCAGAAAGACCCCCCCCTTCAATATTGCCCTCTACTGATTAAGCCCTCATCAACAGCCTACCCACGACGGGAAGGTGCTTTTTGGTTTAGTGGGCCTAATTATCTTGGATCTAGTGTAGAAAAGGTTCCTGCAGTTATCAGCACCCGCTTTCGTGGTGGCGCGTTCTGCAATATACTAGACTAGTAATGTGTGTGAGCGAAAATTGTTTTGACTGTTATGATTCTTCTCCCTTCTTCTCAGGAGTTTTGTATGTTAGGTCTATACACACTGACGCAATCGCAGGCACGTGTGTACGTAGTCTGGATCATCTGCAACCAATTGTCGCACACGAAAGAAGCAGTAGTAATCATATTAGATTGCCGTAAGCCTCACGGCTGGTTCCTCAATTCATTTAGGTATTGGAGGAGACGGGCGGTTGACAGACTAGATAGCGGTGGCCAAGAAAGAGGGTGTGTGTAGGTGTGTGTGTGCGTGTGTGTGACCAAGCAGAAGCCAACGCGTTTGATGTTGCGTCGAATATCATCGGTTGTACATCGAACAAGGAGACAATGATCTCGCGGGCTGAGGAATCTGCGCCCCCGATCACGCAACAGTCCCGGATCCCCGCGCACCACCATCTGATTAGCTAGACCATTTAGACCGCCGAACCGACACAAGGGCCGACGCAAGTTACCCCGCATCTGGGTTCTGCCGCCCTGGTCCCCGCCCCTGCGAACCATCCATCATCTTCCGCATCACACATCACCTTTCCGGCCTTCAGTCCGGCTGGTGTACAGTCCTTCGCAGAAGGTATTGGAGGTTTGGGGGGGGAAATCAAAGCTTGTCGTTGGCCCGCGTCACATCACAACCCTGCAACCGGCAACCTTGAACATGCCATGAAAACCAGCAACCACCTTCTGTCTTGTGTGACACATGCCCACGCAATCGGGTCTATTTCTCCGCAGCCCACGACTGCCACCGGTACCTTCTCTACAAAGGCAGTGGTCTCGACGAATAATGCGTGGCCTGAGCGCTCCCCCCTTGGATGGGCCTCTATGGCGTCGTGCCGTCAAGTGGCTGGACTCCCGTTAGTCGGAGGGTTCAATGGACGTCGACGAGTTCAACCTGGAGGGCCATACCCTTCTTTTGTATGCCGCCTGGTAAGGCCATGCGCTGGTTACCGAAGCCCTTATCAACAGGGGGGCCAACGTCTCGTTACCGAGTGCACTGGGCTTGACCGCTCTGCACTACTCGGCTGCGTTCGGGCACATCGGCGTCACCGAGGTCCTCGTCAATGCCAGTGTGTATTTGCCGTGATCGACTGATTTCACCGCGTCGATTCGGCCATCGATCTTGACGCCCGTCTCGCTGAGAACCACACCGATGTTCTTCGGGTCGAACGCGTAGGACTTGACATAGTAATACTGCAAAATACTCAACTCAGCACGCTTGTAGTTATAAAGCTGAAATCAACCCATTAGACTAGTCTAATGGGTTGATTTCAGCTTTATATAGTACACCCCGTCTGAGATCTCGATTATCACCCTCTCCCTGGTCAGCACAAAGGCCATCACCCAGGAGTTTGACCATGACCGTAAGGGGTGAGATGGAACGGCGTGGCTACATACAGTTGAAGAGGATGGGTGTGCATGGGTTTAGGATGTCCAATGCCTGGCTCTGCCGACGTGGGGCAACTTATGTTCTACCCGAGAACGATTGCGACGCTGTCGTTTGAATTGTTCAATCACAGCAATTTCGTGGTATCGGCTCGGTTACAGCAACTGCCTGCAGTTATGAGGACAGCTGGAGAAATCGTACAAGCACGTGCGGGCCTACTACTGCTGTTTGTAGACTGTAGTATCCAAGACGGATCTTCAGGAGTTCGGGAAACGATCTATTTCGTGCTTCTGGATGAGTGATGCAAAGGTTAATGGAGAAGACCACGGCACGAACTCAGTAGAAGGAACCGAGAATCGCCTTGAAGGAAGTAACAGCCAAGTACCGGCTGCGTTTAAAGATATTTGTTGTTTTTTTTTCGAAGGTGAGAACTTATCAAGAGAGAGAGAGAGAGAGAGAGAGAGAGAGAGAGATAGCGATAGCGAAATCAAATCTTGAGCTGGTCACCCGCCGGCATGAGGATCTAAACACATGGTTTTCTCCATTACACAGCAGATGGGACATCAATTGGGTGCAGGTATTGCACACCTACAACCCGTGTGTGTGGTGTCGGTGGGCTTCAAAACCGGTCACGCATATCCCCACAGGTGGTCGGTGGGGCACGTTATGGGAGGTTGTGCCCGCGCAAAACCCGCCCAGGTTGGGTACAAGCTGTATAACCTGTTCATGTTGGGTTATCAACCGCCGATTCTCTATCGGATTAGGAAACCAATTTTAACCTTGCCTTGTCGGGCTGGCAACCTCGATCCAAACCAAATGGGTGCAAGCTCGCCCGCAGCTGGGTAACAATCACCCCAGCGACGCGAGCCTTCGCGTCGAGGCCAGGAACAATCCCACACAAGGCTTACGAAGCACACACACACGGAGTGCAACACACCACACGAATACCGACACATGATTCGCAGTAATACTGTCGGGCACCATCTAACGGATATAGAGATTTTTCGAGTGTCCCTCACGGCGAGACATCTCTGCGCAAACGACCAGCACCCAAGTGCAGAACCAACACCCAAGTGCAGCACCAACAAAATGTGGTAAGTCGACACCCGCACGAGGATGATGATGGGGCCAAAAAACAAAAGCAAATATGGTACTCCCTCAGGTCCGAAACGTGAGCTCGATCACGTAAGCGGGGGAATCCCGCTCGTAGTAAAAGTACGCCGGGGAGAGGGGCGAAATTCTCTCGAAGGAGAATGACATGCATACGCGTAGTAAGGAGGAGGTCGGGGGTTCGATCTCCGCAAAACATGAGTATTTTTTTTCCCCAAAACCAACAAATTATGCGAAATTTCTAAATTTCTCGCGAAGGCGTAGGCATATGATGTTCGTATCACGGAGGAGGTCGGTACTTCGGTCCCCGCGAAACATTTTTTTTTTTTCCCAAAACCAAAAAAAGTAAGGGCGAAATTTCTCGCGAAGGCGTATGAAAAGCGTAGTAAGGAGGAGGTCGGGAGTTCGATCCCGGCAAAACATTTTTTTTTCCCCAAAACCAACGAATGATGCGCGAAATTTCGAAATTTCTCGGGAAGGCATAGGCATATGATATGCGTAGTACGGAGGAGGTCGGTACTTCGGTCCCCGCGAAAAAAAAACAATCTTTCCAAAACCAAAAAAAGTAAGCGGGAATTTTCTCGCGAAAGCGTATGATAAGCGTAATAAGGAGGTCGGGAGTTCGATCCCCGCAAAACATGCTTTGTTTTCCCCAAAACCAAAAAATACTCCAGGAGCACTTACAAAAACAAAATACACACACGTTAAGGCCTCTCCGAGTGCTTCATTTTTCCGACCGGACGCTTTGCTTCCGGTCAACACCAAAGACAAACACGACAATCGAAAATGGCGGTCTACGGCCATACCGTAGTGGCTGTGCCCTTTTCCTGCCATGACCTTCCTCGCGAAAATATCCCGACCTGCCTGTTCCAAAAAAGAGGCTCTGGTGGGCCCGGAAGCGCTTTTTGCAGAGGCTGCCCCCGACAACACGCACGTCCTAAAGCAAGCAGAATCATTTTCCACAGCAGCTCAGCCCCGCGGCGTGGCCTACCGCCCCCCATCCCGCTCCCATTCCGCACTCCTTGCGCCTCCCCCTCCCGCTTGACTCCGCCCAACGAGACCCGCGACTCGAGAAGTCGATGAATAACAGGGGTAAAATCTGTAGAGCACCGGAATGTCATCTACAGGTATTCCCATCCTGAGACCTGATTGATTACAAAGTAGGAGCGTGGAATTGCGCGACGGAAGTGGAGGGAGGGGTACCTCGTCAGTAGGGTCCGAGAATCAAAGAGCGGGGCTTAGCCTCCGGATTGTTGTTGTTGCTGCTTGCCTCCAATATGGCGCGGACGACTTCCGTGGTCACAGCTTGCAAGCTACCTATATACCCAAAGAGGGCACACTCTAGGACGAACCAAAGAGAACAACCAAGGACCCAGACAAACAGCACGAATGCGAAACAGCCCGTCGGGCGTCGACGCCAGCATATCCACGCCGGGGATGCAACTAAAAAACAGACCAAAGGACAACATGTTTTTAAAATATCGGATTCCGGTACTCCATGCATGTACATCGAATGCCCTGGTAGTCGCAAAAAAACAAGAGGAAAATACGAGACCAAGGCGAAACCTAGGACTCTTATGTTTCCCGCCGACAACTTTCGAGTACATGACCCGTCACGGGGGATCAGGCTCATTGTAAGCGGCAACTGGTGCATGTGTGCGTGTGTCAGAGAGGCAAAACAGTTTCCATACTTGTAGGCACGATCCTTTGCTAGTCTCTCCCCCCCGTAGCCCAACTACTTCCAATGAATAACCTAAACGTACGGTGGTATCCCTTCCTTGGCTTACTCGATGCGAAGCAAAAGGCCATTCAACTGCAATTTTTTTCCAGCAAACCACAAAACATCGATCGTCCGCGGTGCAGGAGGGCAATGAAACTAAATAACTAGATTGCCGTATGGCTCTAGGTTGCTCTAGGTTCCCATCTCAGACAACTTGCGGAGGCAGGGGAGACAGAAAGGGTACGGTCATTCGCATACAACGAACCCGTCGTCAATGCAGCGAGCAAAGTGTGCGCATGCATCTCGTCGTCACTCACGGCTCAGGCGATGGAGTCCCGCAGAACACTGTGGAATTACTTGTTGAGGAGGTAGTTCGGGTTTCCTGTCAGGTTGCACCGCCACACCGGCCGCTTGCTCCCCTCGTCGACCAGGCGGCAGGCGGATGCCCCAGTTGTGGAACAGGCATGCATCATATGCACTACGCACCGGATGGCCGAAGCAGGGAAAAACGTAAGTGACGTGCGCATCCGAAACATGTCCAAACCGGTCACAGGATCGACCTTGCGCTTGTTGCCAACTCCTGCTGTCACATACTCCGCTACCGCCACCCAAATGGTGAATTCTCACTCCGGAATGGCGTTGCTACTGCTGTCACCTCGTCTCCAGTCGTTGCCTTGGTGCTCGAAAAAATAGGCCACTTTCCCGAGAGTGGTGCGACCTAGCCCTCGGTTTCCAGCTCGCTGGTCTTCGGCCTTGAGGTATATCTCGACGTCGTTGCCACGCGATGCCGCCGACCGGACCCACGTAGGGGTACCCGCGTCTTTGACCGGGCCGCCACGGATGGTGCCGATTCCAGCACTGACTTCCGCCGGAGCCTGGCCCCAATGGTTGAACACCACCACCGTCTGACGGACGATGCCTTGGCCTCTGTTCCTCCAGCAAAAAGAGCACGTCCGCCTACTACATGGCGCCTCCTGCGCGGTCCTACCACACCCAAGCGAGTCGTCGTAGCACTTTTGCAGTTGCTCGGCAGATGGCAATGTTTTCGATATCGCCTGCTGCCATGCCGGGGCGTCCAGACCGGTCTCGACCCGAGTTGGAACCAACCCGGCATCCCACTGTTGGTAACCGTGCGGCCGCCCCCCCCTTCTTCCCGTCGTGTCGTCTTCCGAGGCTGCTGGAGTCGTCTGCAGCGGCAAGATCTTGAACACCTCCTGAAGCACTTCCCGGCAGAGAGGACCAGCTGTCAACTCCTTCGTGACCTCGACCCCGCCGACGCGACCTTTCGCACTCCACCTGACGCCGTCGCATAACGCTTTCAGGGCTTGGGTGTCGTTCCAAGTCCTGAAAATATGAACCGGGTTGTCGCGTCCACTCGCGGATGTCGCCGACTTCTTCACTTCCTTGTGCTTAGATTCGCCGAAGTTCGCGTTTCCCACCGCACCTTTCGTCCGGAAAAAAAAAAAACGTCGATGACGCGGGCCATGGTTCTGGTTAGGGCGGGTACATTGGTCCCACCGGCAAGGCTGTCTCATACATTAGAAATCTCGCTTCGCTCGAATAATTTTAATAGCTTTTTGTGGGAAGGCGACCCGATAGGGGGTGGCTTTTTGCTTAAGCAAGATAAAAATCAACTAGAGGGACCGGNGGGCGTGGGGGCTGCCACACAGACCGCAATGTGGATGTTAGGGGGGGGGGGGCGTACTCTTATGTTTTGCATGTCTTAGCGGTTAGACCATTGACCACGCGTCCTCGAGAGGACGGAGCATTGTTCCCACAGGACCGATCACCGATGGCCAATCGTTCCTTCCTACAAGCTTCCGCAGGGGGGGGGGGCGAAAACGGTTGTGTCTGTCTGTCTGTCTGTCTGTCTGTCCCACCATTAAAGACCCAGGAGAGACTAGGCACCATCACAAGCCAACACTTGGGCCCAACAAGTACCATTTTTGCCCGAGCTGTCACAACTTGCTTCCATCTCAATCCGTGCTCGGCGCCTCGAGACAAAACAGCATCTGCGCCGAGCTTGAATTAGGGACCAGCCGTCCCCGCCCCCAAAAAAGAGGCAGTCTTTTTTTTGGTTCTCTGGTGCAACTGCTGTGGTGCTGCTACTGGCAAGAGACAGGAAGCATACAGTAACAAGTAAGGGCCGGAGACACACACCACCGGGAGAACGAGACGGAAGGGCGTGTCCTACTGCTGCTGTTAGCTATCGGCGGCGGTCGTGTTGTCGTTATTGTGCGTTTCGATGAGCACAGCGCTTTTTTGTCATCAGCGATAGAGAGAAGCACTCACTAACACGCGTGCTGCTATGTAGACACCCCATCATTGATGACGCATGTACTGCGCCTGTACATCTCTACGCTTTTGTGCGAAGGTCGTGCCTTCCCTGCTACAGCAGTCTGGTCATCACTCATCACATGCTGGGCGAAAGACACGAGTTAGGCAGCAGTAGCGGCGTTTTTTTTTTCGAGCTGATGTCCACCCCCTGTCTATGTGAATCACCCACACCCCTGGTCAACTCAACGCACGCACCACGCCAGACGCACGGACTCGCCGACTGCCGAGCCACAAAAATGAAGTTTACCCCTCCCCCCCCCCGCATCTAGTAGGCGCCACAGCAGCTTGCACAACACCTGCGCCACGTTAGAGTCCATCACTTGGACTTGAAGAATAACGAACAACCCGAGGCACTACCCTACGGCGAAAGTTACACCGAGGGAGCTCACCAAGGTTTCGAATATCGTCGGGAATGTGCCGACCTTTGTGGAACGATCCAAGCTCAAACCCCACTACACGCGATGCCTGCTTTACCTTGAGGAGTGCAGCGGGTAGGGCGGACATTGGCACAATGATTGCTTAACAGCAAAGCAGAAGCAACCGTATCGTACGACCCTTTGACCGCACCCTCGCCTCCGCCGAAAAAAACACCAAAAATTCGCTCAGGCATGGTTGGGTTTTAACGAGTCTGTTCGGAGGGAAATGTTGCGATACTTTTCCAATGCGGTTCGCGGCAGACATCGTCAACACCACTTGTGTGACAGATCACATCGGCACTCGGTACGACTACGAGCATTGTGTTACGAACAAAATAAAATGAACATAATCTCGTGGATGTACAGCGGGTCGCGGACGTGCGTGCGTGCGTGATATCTCTACCCCAGTGTTGGCTTCACCCCACCGTGAAAAACAACAACAACAACAACGTACCCTCCGTTGGAAGTACATCAAAAACAAAGTTGTGAGGGATGCAGAGGGGAGGGGGGCAAGGAACATACGCTACCCGAGCGCCAGCGCCAGCTGTTGGTTGAACAGGTACTGGAGCGGCCGATGCGACTGCAATTTTTACCTCAACGTACTGGGGGAACCGAACTATATGCCATAGCTCCCCAGTGAAAGTTCGCGCAAAAGGGCTGGATCGAGCGTTCTACACTATAATGGACACTTAGTGTGGAGATCCCCCTCTGGAGGCCCTGTGCTACAGGCACACTTCGGAAGAAAAACAAAAACTGATCAAACGTAGCAGACATGGAATTCTAGCTTCACCTGCTCTCTTTGCCACTTCTCCAGCACCCTCAGCTCGGCGTCTGTGTACGAGCCAAGGCGCACCATGAACGTGCTCGCACTGCATGCTTCCATGAGATCTCGGAAAGCCCGGCACACCTTTCCGATCCGATCCGGGTAGCCACGNTGATGACACGACCAACATGTAGAGCGCTGCGTTCCTCTAGGGCACACGCCATAACGTCTACTATGTTCAGATGTAGTTCCCAGACAACATACGAAACCACTTACCAGGCTGTCCGCATGCAGGATGTCGAACGGGATCTGAAGCTGCCGATCGAAAGTCAGCTTCTTCGACACCTTGGGGACCACGACGCCACGTTGTTTCGCACGCTCGACGCCCTCGGTCTTGGTGGCCCCTTGCTTGACGTACTCGATATTGGCATCGACGCCTTCGGCCGTCCGCCGATTTTGCCGGATGTCGTAGCGCGGGTTGCCGAGATGGCGACGTGGTACTTTGCAGCGTTGGCACGACCGGAGGGTACAACCGTTGGCATTCTTCGTGTTCGTCCTGTCGCTGTGCTCCGGGCTGTCGAGGATCAGCCCTTGTAGTCTTCCCCTCACAAGCACCTGAGTTCGAGAGTTCATGATGATGGGGCATATCAAGGACTGGTACAGGCGTGCAAGCTGGACGTGGATGAATACCACGAAATCCTACCGTTCACTGGTTCTGTTCCAGACGCAGATGCGACGAGGTGTCTCCTACCGTCCGGCGCCTGGTATTTGAAGACTGGTTTTACCTTCGCATCAGGTGTCATTTCTTGAGCTGTAGCGTCCGCCACCGGTAAGCAACTCTCCTTGTATGTATCGACACCACAAGACGACCAATCTACATCTACCTGAAGCGTTTTCCGACAACATTCGACATCAACACGTTATGGGACGATGCCCGAACATTGTTTCGACGGCCGGCGTGTCAACCCCAAGTAACTACCTGCATCTCAGTATATTCCTCACCGTGTGGGATTCCTCATCACTGGTCCTCATGCGCGCGCGGCAGCCGTTCTCGAGCATATGAAGAATAGACGTCAGGGGGCCCATTTCATTTTCCCATCGCGCTTGCACCCCAACAGTGACCATCCACCACGATCGCAGACGTCGGAGAAAGCGGACGAGGTGCATCCCGGGGCAAGGTATGTACCGCGCACACTGTACTGCCTATTGCCAGACAGGTAATTGAAAGCATCGCTGGAACAAAGGAAGCCCATCGATACAACGGGAAGACCACCCTCGTTTGTGAATGCTCTTGACGATCGTCTATCATTGAACCAACCGTGCACCCCCGACCTTCTCCAAACGTTCTTGACCACCTGCAAGCGCCTGGTGCGGGGGTTTGTAGCTGCAAAACCTTCTCCGACGAAGGTCGGCATGCTGGCCGTACCATCGGCGGGCTTAGGTACGTTGGTACCCACCGGCAACACCATGCACGGACCTACCAGTGCACTCACTCCGACGTTCTCCTCCTGGTTCGTGACCTCCCAAACAGACTCCACATCTTGGTCTCGTCGGCGCTTGCTCTTGATACCGTCGGGCATGTCGCTCCTGAACACGAATGGATTGACACGCACAACAAGATGACCAGTGCTTTGGACCCCACCCCCCGGCCGCCCCTGTTGGGTTTCGTCCTCTCCTTCCTCTTCCGCTTCTTCTTCCTCTTCCTCTTCCTCTTCTTCCTCCCCATCTTCTTCCGACGATTGCCACGATGCGCCTGTAGAGGTTGACGAGGGCGAGGACCCTGCATCCTCGTCCTCTTCGTCAATCGTATCCAAAGCCTGAAACCACCGGCAAACGCCCCCCCCATTCCCCCCTGAAAGCTCGAGGGCGCGTCGCCTCTGCTTCCGCGTATTCTGCCAGAAGATCGCAGCAATCCGGCAGGGGTGTGGGCTGTTCCCGAACGCTGGTAACCTTACCATTGCCGTGTCCCCCACCATGAGCCGCACCCCATCCGTTGTGGCCACACACTCCAGGCCCATATGTGCAGAAGCCATCATGATGTCTCCGCTCATGAAGCCGCCCCTTGCTCCATCGGACTCCCGAGTGGCAATCGGAGTGAAGTGGAAATCAGGTACCTGACTACGACGTTGCTCCTCCTTAGACAATTGCTTCCCATCCGCATTCTTCAGAAGCTCTTCCACTACCCGAGGGCATTCGAGCATACGCTGGTAAATGAGGTTGAAAGGGCATTCAATTACCTCCGCAGCCTTGTCGTCCTTGCCTTTTACCTCTCGCCGTACCACAGGAAGGAGCGGCAAGCGCCGCCGCATCCTACTGACGAGATGCTCGGACGACTCGGGAACGTCTCTCGGGTCGAACCTG